GGGGGGGGGGTCATATCAGGAGAGGGAATTAGGTGGGATCGTATTTTGCTAAAAATGCCGTGCCCTGGTCCGAACTTTGTCGTCCATGGTAGGTTACTAGATTCATCTTAAAAGATAAAAGTAGTGACGGCTTTGGCTGGTTTTAATAGTTCCGTCCCGAGCCCAATACGCATTCAGATGTTAATGCGATTCTCAATAAAATTCGAATGCATGGCGCACTCTGAAGAATGGGTCGGTGCGGAGCTATTTTTAGGGCTTTTCAAGTCCAGTCAGGTTTCCATAGTGTTTTCCTAGTCAAGTAAGGTCTGAGTAAGGCGAGAAGAGAGGGTTAGTTTGGCCCTTGAATCAGTGAAATTTTACTATGACCAATCCGCAGCACTGGTTATATGTGGCTGCAACGTGTGAAGAGCTCCAGCATTTCGGTCTCATTGAAATTCTTCCGTGATCTTTTTTTCGTAATGTATTTCACACTGGTAGCGTGGGCGGAGTCCAGAATATCATTTGGGGTTCCCCATTGGTGCCTTCGTTCTCGACTCCTGACCATTTAGAAAGAGGCGTACACCAGTGGCGGCTGATATTTCAAGTTTATGTCGAGCATCAATATTTCAAGTTTATGTCATCATGGGGCGCCATCTCAGCAGTCCTATGAATAAACTAAAGCTGAAGTAACGGACGAGTTTCCAGGACAGGACGTTTTCACGGATATGTCGCGCAAGTTGGTTATTTCACGTGATACAGCGAAAAAGCTCTGCTACGGTGTAATCTATGGAATGGGTGCGAAAACTCTCGCTGAAACTGTAAACAAATCGGTGGAAGAGGCAGACAAGCTCATAAGGAACTTCTTCCAGTCATTCCCCAGTAACAATCTTCAGCGAACAATATCGTTCTAGTCATCTTCTCGTTGCAGAGGTGAGGACCTACATCAACAATACCAAGGAACAAGCTGTCAAAGCAGGTTTTGTCACTACGATATTAGGTACGAAAATATCCATTTTGAATAAAAAAAGTTTTTTCAGAGCCTGGGGTCTATGTTTTCTTGGCCAAAATACTTCTTGTTTTTTAGGACGGAGACGGGTGACCTGCAGCGCTCGCGGGCGCCAAGAAGACGTAGCAAGAGACGATCGACAAAGCATCAATTATACAATCCAAGGTACAGCAAGTGAGATCTTCAAAAGGGCAATTGTGGCGCTGGACGAAAGTCGAAAAGGTGAGGCATCGGTAAAGTACCAACTTTGTGCAGCGGGAAAAAGTCCTTCAGCGCGGCCCCTCCCTCCAATGTTGCCTTAGATGCGACCACCTTCAGCCTCAGCGTTTAACTTTACTTCGTCCTTACTTTTGACCTCCAAAGAAAAACCCCGCAACGTCCTCTCTTTTGACTTCCAAAAAACTCTGCAAGGAAGCGTGGCAAGGGTGAGATCGGTTGAACTCCCGCATTAATCGCCGTTTACTGCATGTTTGTTCGAAGTTCAGGCCAGATTTGGGACGATATTTTTCACTATGGGTGCTTGGCCAACATCTTGTCTTTAGGGGTATTCTGACCTCCAGAACACAAATATGGCATACATTTAGCGCAAAGGCGTCTGGCGCCCAAGCCATAGGCGCCGGTGCTGCAAGCCAGTTTTTTCGTTCCCGTAGCGCTAGCAGCAGGTGTTTTCGAGCTGAATCGGTATGATATTCGCGTTCAGAGGGTCAAAAGACGACTGACCAGGGAAGTCCGCCAACTTACCATGGAACTTTGAATGGAGACCTGGGTAGATCGATAGAGTCTATAAGGTTATTTACAAATATAGATAGCAAAACTGCAACCTGCATTTCACAAGCAACTTATGAGCAGGTAAAGTTTGTAATGGTGCAGTAGGGTGGAGGCTTGGTGGTGAGCTGTGAAGCATAAGCGAGGAATCGCATACGTCGAATCGAGTCGTCGAACGTCGAACCTTACCACTGAACCACCACGACTCGATTCGACGTATGCGATTCCTCGCTTATGCTTCACAGCTCACCACCAAGCCTCCACCCTACTGCACCATTACAAACTTTACCTGCTCATAAGTTGCTTGTGAAATGCAGGTTGCAGTTTTGCTATCTATATTTGTAAATAACCTTACAGACTATCGATCTACCCAGGTCTCCATTCAAAGTTCCATGCGGGACTTCCCGGGTGAGGAGCCTAATTTTGATCAAAATTCACCCTCAGGGAAGAATCCTGTCGATATCTGGCTTGAATCGACTGGTAGGCAATAAAGAGTGAATAGTTTCAAGACATCTATTCTTTCCGAAAACTTGAGCATTCTTCCAACTAATTCAAATCACCAGATCAGATATATGCCCCTACCCAATGACCTTAATACGATCCCCTCGTTTTGAGGATTTCTCAGCCGTGCCGTGCCCGATAGCTATTTGACAGCTACTGCATTATGGACGAGCCCTATGGATCCCGTTTCTGTTTACATGAATTGTTTTTTTTTCAGGCGCAACGAGAATCGTAATGACCGTCCATGATGAAATCATCGTTGAGTGTGCGCTGGATAAGGAAAATGGCGTAAAGCAGTGGATGCGATCCTGCATGGAAAACGTCTTTCCAGATTTCCTCGTTCCTTTGCCAGTGAAAATTCGTTCAGGACCTAATTGGGGTTCACTTTCTTAAGCTTCATGGCCAGTTCTCTTCAGCACAATGCATATATTTCACGTACAACTTATTGCCTATTTATTTTACGGGTGTTTTGTGAACAATGCTCTCACTGTCATTCCTTTAATAGAATCACTTACGAGTATTTATATTATTGTGATAGAATAAAACCATCCTTCTAATGTTCTGTTCTGTGAGGAAAGTCGTTGCTTTGTCTATCTCTTATAACGTTTACCATTAGATACTTATGAGCTTCTACGGAATCTTATCGCTAATGAGCAGGCTCCAACAATTTGTCTTCGTTTTTATAAGCATTACGCCTCACATCACGCGAGCACCGCTGTACAGAAGAGTGTCGTGTCGCAGTGTCGTGGCAGCTACGAACGACGCATGCAATGACTCAGTGCACTGCATTTTTCACTTTCGCCTTTTGAAATGTCACTTCAAAGACTAAATGTTTCCTAAATATTCATGACTCCCGCACGAAGTTATACATTTTTATGGCGGAAAACTGGTTGTCAACTGGACCACCTTGGTTCCACTAAGGACTACAGGGGGGGGGGGCCAAAAAAAGTCACTTCGACCGAGTCACATATCAGCAAAGTTTTCGCTGCCCAGACAGAGGACGTGGATACGAGTACCAGGGCGGAAGATACCCAAGATGTTCCTCTATAAGCAGGAGCTGCTGCTCGCCCATCACCTTCATGTACACCAAAATATGAAGTCATCTCCAGTCGCAGCCTGACTGGAGAAGACCTTTGGAATTCATATCACCTCCAAACAGCTGCGAAACTCCTAGAAATATGGAGTCACCCATGGATAGCTACCTGGAGACTCAGTACTCTCAATCTGGATGGCCCTCCACATCGAGCAGCTCCGACAACGTCGCCTACGGTCTAGGACATCATCTTCACCACAGTCGTCAAGGCGCGGGTTGATGGTATGGACCGGACGTACCTGGAATGGGAAGACCAATATTTTCTTCGTGGTTCCCGGACATAAGGTGAGCACTGGCGGTTACACTGAGCAATTCGTGAAGAATATCCTCCTCACATGTCGTCGTCCGTACCTTCTTGGAAACTTTGTACTGCTACAGCATTGGGTGCCACCACATGGAATCGAAGGGCGTTGGAGAAACTCTCGCCTACTTGGAATGGAAGGGGGCTGGGTACCTAAAGAAGATGGAATATCCAAGTAGGTCACCTGACCTGAATCCCTCAATTACCCGGTTCGGGCGAGTTCAATAGGGTGGTCTACGGTGGCGGAGAAATCGACTATCTCGCTGATCTCAGGCACCACATCGCGGTCGCGCGCCAGAATCTCTCGATGGCGCTCGTCCAGAAGTCTGTGGCGGAGTGTCATGATAGTATTTAATATGCTCTTTAATATGGTGGTGAAAATGTCCGATGAGAATTTAATAAAGTGTAATTTATAGCGCCTCGAAAGTCAATGAAGAAAAGTGACTTTTTTTTTTTTTGGGCCCCTTGTGAGTACACTTTTGACGACTGTTTCTGGAAGCTATCTGAGCACCATTTCTCTTGTTATTCTCCCTTAGGGATTACTAAGCTACCCGTCATCAAGAATTCGGCTAGGCTTGCATTCGCTACACTGCAAGCGGCCACCAAGCGAGTTAACAACGTGTACCGCCTTCTTGAGCGTTCGGCAGCGTCCGCGACTAGAAAAGTATGGATATCGATCTAGCGTCTACAAGCGTGTACCAGCGTACTTCAGCGACCAGCAGCGTTGAACAAGAGTTTTGGACGAGTTCAAACGATTGACATGTCCAAACCGATTCGCCAACCGTTGATAGATACTGCGCCACGTATATCATTCGCCTTCACATAAAGTCATATTTTACTCCATAAATGGATGCTATGAGCGATACCCCCAGCGTCGGGTGCTGTACTGTGTTGCCATTTGGAGACGGGCCGGTTCGCTGTTGACGTGCCTGGCATCATGTTGCCACCTAGACTTCTTTCTTTGTTTGTTTTGGCTATGGCGTGTTGGAGAAGTGTTTCACGCAGCGCGTCGCTAAGGACCCACGGCCACAGTTATTTTGTTCGTGCTAGATAATATCGACCTGTCACGCACTCTGATCGATTTATCGTAGTCACTAACTTCTGAAGCAGCGCCTTGCAAGAAGCTCACTGCGAAAAGCGGCACTATTAAATGAATTCCTACCCACGTCTTCGGAATCCCAGTGTTTTTTACCGCTTTCTTCTACGAGGTACAAATGGCTAAGAAGTGGTCGTTGGGGTCAGTTTGACCTTACTCAAATATTGAATATCACATGTCGCTTACATCGAAACCGCCTTGGCGGACGCGCAAAAACACATCTAAGTCACCGAAGTCGATGAAAACTATAATACTGCGTGGGTTTTACATTCTGGTTCACATATATTGGCGCCCACGGTGGATTGTAGACACAATGATCATCTGCGCTCTGCTGAGGCTGAACCTGGCCCGAAGGGATCACTCGTTCTCGCAGGTTAGGCCTTAGCAGGAAACTAAATGGCGCTGATGTCGAGGAATAAATGCCGTGTTTGTGATCAGGGCATCAAACAACCCTACTGCGCATATTTTTATCAGTTTTAGGGAAAAACGTTGTGGCCCCAAATTGGCGCCTAGTGGCGCCAAATGGCGACATCGCTGTAAGTTAATGCCATATTCGTGATCAGGATGTCAATTAACTCCCCTATAGAAGTTCTTTCGGCACAAGCTTGCGATCGCGAAAATGTTGGTCAAGTTGGTGCCTATTGGCGCCAAATGGCACTAGCGCCAAAAATGGAGGTCTTTGTCGTGATCAGGACATCGTATGGCATCTACATATAGGCAGAGTTTCAGAAAACTTTTTTGAGTTTCGAGGTAGGAATAGTTCGAATAGTGCCCAAAAAGCTTATCCGGACTGCTGTTTCCCCTATGTATTCACAAAATTACTGCCAGAATTTCGTTGCCATTTATGACTATTTTCAGTCTACGTGTGGCATTCGTGCATGTTCTGTTCTACACCACAGAATGTGCCAAGTTCTCAAGCTAGTATTGGCTTCCACGCACTGTCGTCACTTGTCCTTTGCACCACATGCACAGTTCCCAGCCAATGTTGCTTTTATAGTATAATTTCAAGTCAGTAGTCAGTCTGTAATTTTTTCGAAAATTTAGACAACGAAATAGGAACATGTTTTAGGCTCCTGCCCTCACAGCGCCGATGTCCGAATCGGCGTTTCGGTTTCGGAATGTCCTCTGCGAATACAGCATGTCTCCACCTTCTGCGATTGATCGTCTCTTGTATCCAAATCTAATGCTGCAAATTCCTACTTTCCATATTTTTGGAGTTACTCCAGAAGGTAGTCTCACCATACTATTCTCAATGGTCCAATTCCATGCTGGTCGTATGGGCGGACTAGTGCTCGCTCTCTTCATTAGTGCGCTCCTCCCTACTGAGGCAGTAAAAAATAATTGAGACTCAGTAGGGAATGCACAATGCTTCACAATTTCCGCCCATGCGATCAACGTAGCTGAGCTTCCTGACGTTTTTGAGCTGAGTTGCCAAATCCTTCATTTTCAACGAAGGAAACGACTGAAGAAGTTTGAGATTTCTTGTTTGAGTTTACTGTTTAGGTAAGAAGGTATGTGTTCACATTCATGGGGTGCTACCGTACCTTCTGCTGCGTGTCGGCGCCGATTTCACTCCGTCGCTAGGTGTCCTTATGCAGGAGAAAATCAATCGTCTTATACAACGCGAGATGGCACTGAAGGAAGAGCAATCGGATAAAAAGAAGAAGTTCAGTAACTACGTGTACAGGATCGAACCGGTTATGAGGAAGTCAGTTGGTGGAGTAGTTAGATGTTTTTCAAAAAGAACTACTTCCTGAGCAGTCGTAAGGAAGAAACCACCTTTCGTTTCTGAGCCTTAAAGGCAGCGTCCGCGTTCAGTTGAGATTTTCCTCTCCCTTCGTGAGCAGCCTACAATTGGCCCAACCTACAATCATTGGCACCGCCCTCCATTCATTTCTAAAGGTTACCTGGGTGATAAGGGAAAACAGCTGATAACAACACATGAATACTCGTGCGACTGCACCTTCTCTTCTCGCGTTGAGCACGTACCAACCTCAGCTTAAGCAGGGCTCCGTTCTAGTATAGAGCCTCTTCCTATGCATATTCTTTCCGATTTTTCTTCCACTAAGGGTACTTGCCTACCTTTGTAGTAAGTAACCCTCCGTCATCCGGGCAGTTGTTTAGGGCGGTCGTCAACGGGCCGCAGCGCGTGCCAGGAACTATTTGCTTTTCCAGGCTAATTTAGTCATTTTTTCCACCTTGTGAAGATAAGGAGCTGCTAATCTGGGAAAAAGTAGCCAAAACAGTGAAAAGTTGGAAAAAATGACTAAATTAGTTCTGGAAAAAACAAATAGTTCCTGCGCAGCCGCCGCTGCGGCCTCGCTTGACAACCTCTACCCTAATCAACTGCCCGGGTTGACCGCGAGGGTATTTGCGGCCGCAAACTCATACAATTTGAATCGCGGGCTCAGGCCTTTAATACCCACAAAATGTTACTCACTCAGGCCAATTCGGTTTAAATTGAGCCATGGAGGGAAAAAGATAAAGGGATGTTATATTGTGAGAAAACAGCGCTCAAGATCGCATTCTCGCAGAATGCAGGCCCGCAGAATTCATCAAATCATAGTGCAGAAGGAATGCGTCTGGAGAAAAAAAAAAAGCGAAAGGAACCTTGAGCGAGTGAATAGGACCTTTTGCACACGACTGAACATGGACGAGTTATCCAAACTCTGGGAAAGTTCTCTGAATGTAGCGCCATGTTCATCGCTTACGACCTTAGCTCCAATATGCCCTTCGAGCCTTCGCGGCCATAAACACAGCAGGTCCAGAGAACTCGTCAAAGGGCCCGCCCGCGGGGCTCTACTTGGGCCGGTGCTTCAATGGTTTCTTTATGCTTTTTTCTTCCATGGAGAGTTAACTGTAGCGCGACTGATGTTTTCGTTAATTTTACACGCCACTATCTCATAATATTGCGAGTCGCCGAGGATTGCTCTTCAGAAAACTCTGGGTGTACATTCAGTTAAGTCTAGCTGAAATGAATGTAAATAACTACAGTGAAATTAACGATATCATTTCCTGCAGGTCCATTTATGGCTACCACGAAGAAGATGAACCGTTCGCGAAGATATACTTTTACAATCCGTTACACCGTGCAAAGTAAGTTGATGTCACTTCCTATATTTCTTCGAGAGTACTGTCAAAAAAAGGAGGGGGATTGATAAAATATAACGTGGCGATAGGCTCTTCAAACTTTATACGCTGATTTGACCACTGGCTTTCCTACTCTTGTTGAGTCCTGTTTCGAACCTTACCGCATTAACCGAATATAGAATTCTCCACAGACACAGAGCCTGCTTGTGCATCGTTCATGGGGGAAGAGCGGCGGGCGGAGGACGTAAGGCCGTGCCATTATAGTTTTCTCATTGACGCACCCTTCCTCTTTACCGTGAACAGGGACGGGGGCAGCAGGAAAACATAAATCCGCGACTGACTCTAGCCAGATCAAGCGTGCGCACTTGCCTTGCGGCTTCAGTGGATTACCGAGCACCAGTTGGAATGTGCTCGAAAATTTATAATTGAGAGAATAATGGGGATTTCAGGTTATGAGCGCGCAGTCTAGCCCAAGCGGAAGTGGACGACGGTCCCGTCAATGCAGAACCATTCGAGCGCACACACTCCCTCGTTCGGTTCATCCAGGTTTGTGGCCTTCAATCGTTACTATTCTGCCAGCTCGTGTCGAACAAAATCGCTCAAGTCTGGAAAAGGCGAAGGCTTCCTCAACAGATATATCTCACGGTGGCAGCCATAATCATATTGGCGTGCACAGTTGTGAACTTGTACTCGACCTCTGGGTTGCTGTACACAAAAGAGGAAAAGAAACCATCGAGAATGTCCCATGTGAAGCTCCTACCCCCGTTGACAGTTGTACAATCTTTTGTGCGAGTTTTCAGGACTTCCTGGCTAACCAAAAACCTACGGTCACCAACTAACATTTGTCAATGCACAATGCACACAATTACATCATTGGTGAACTTACGCAGCGCCAAAAGCCCACCTTACCTTGCGAAGTGGGCTAATGCTTATTCCTTATTGATTATAGATTCCCTAAAAGGTATCCAAGGGCAAAACTCTTCTTACTCATGAGCGCGAGCGCTTTCAACGAGAGCTAAGCCTGCGTTCATACTTTGCGGCAGCGTCCACAACCGCTGTGAGCGCCGGGCAGCGGCGCGACTGAGAAAGTACCAAGATATCGACCTAACGTCTGCCAGCTTATCCCAGCGTCACCAGCGTCTCGAGGGCCTGGGAAGTATAGGTATCGATCTAGCGTCTGCCAGCGTGCACCAGCGTCTACCAGCGTCCGAAAGGGGAGAGTATGGCGCGATAGGAGGTTAGCAAACAGCTGGTGGACGCTGGGAGACGCTGATTTTGGCGCGGCGCCAGTACTATCGCTCCATACTCTGTACCAGCAGCCTGCCATCCTCCTATCTCCTCATACTCTACCAGCGGGGGTCGTGTCAAAGGGCTGGTTTTGGCGCTGCGCCAGTCCTTTTCCTCCAATTGTGGAAGCTGGCAAGCAACCTTAACTGATGGAAAACGAGCTCCGCCAGACCCAGCCCCTCCCCCTGGCAAGCCCCAGCATCTTATCCTTACTGCATTTCCTAGACCTAATAGGCTGCGCGCAATGCCACAGCTCGGTTTTATATGTGCCTGTTCCATGTGAGAATACGTTCCAGTTACACCATCATAATTTCAGTTTTTCATCGACAATTCGATCTTCGGAATGGACGAGATTGTCTTAAAACGCGTTCAGTATCGTGTACCTCCATATGTTGATTCTCAAGGTGAGCTAAAAATGGTATGGGACGTTACGTCCATGCCACAGCAAAAAAGGTATTGCAGCAAGCGTCACGCGGCGGCATACGCACCTGGACCTGTTTAATTAATTAATAGAACGGGAATTCGCTGCTGTATGCCGAGTAAACTACAGTCAGCAAGGGAATACCAGCTAGTTGCTATAGGTTACAGCATTACAGCATACATTAGGTTACAGCAACCTGTATTTCCTGGCCCAGATTACACCACAAGCTCTGACGGCCTTATATTGGTCGTATCTGTGGATAAACGAGGTATTCAAGGGCCTATGTATCGCTGAACAGTAGCGGGTATGTAAATAGTTGCCGAAAAGGGTGTCCTCCCTTCCCTTACTCCCTGAAGAGCACGGAAGGAGGTTTATGCTTTGCTCGGCTTCCGTCGCGCATGCGGAACGGAATCTGAATTATATCTCTGCTTTCGACCCCCTCAATGATTTTCACTCATTCGATTTTTCAACGTAGTCCATTAATTTTCATCTTCAATGGTTTTTCATCGTCTTCGGAATTCATCGAATTTCTCTGGTATCTATGAGAAAGAACAATGTAAATTCTCCGACATTCATGCTTGAGTGCTTCATAACAAAAAATTGTCGTAGATGGGGTGTCGGGCTGGAGCATCGCTGTGGTCGGGCGTAACAAGTCCCGTGGGAGATGTCGACGTGCGCTCAACATGCGCAATGAGAGAAGATAAACGCGCGCGGCGCCGCAGTGTGGACTTCCTGACCGGCTCCCTCGCGGCTTTACATTGCTTAATAGATGGGAATAAATAAGGAAAAGTTGTAACTTTCAGAGACGCTCATCGAAGGAGTGCTTGTCAGCGACGTTCTCAACTCGTGAGTTTTAAATCTCTCTCCACGGTTCTCAGATAGTTTTAATTGTGACTATGACACGGATGAAAAGCTCTTATCCATTTCCAGGCCGTCTCTGCTATCACCATTGATGCCGATCACGACGTGCGCCATAGAATGTGATGCATTCGTCGGTGACATCATGAATAAGGAATTGCATTCAGCCAATGGTATTTTACCAGTCAATTATCAGCGGGTGTTCTGTATTAAGTTTGGCTCCACCAATTCCGGTTTTCGTTTTCCGACTTTGAGCCCAGAGCTTTATTTCCAGTTCATTCATCCAACCCAGGATTGGAGTATATCTGGCGTGAAGAGGCGGCACGATGCGCGGCACAGGGTCGCAAGCTCGAAGACACTTTCAATAATTGTATGTACGCATGTCACTTTTTATAATTCTTACTTACAGTCTTAGATGAAGTGATAAGTGGTAGGTGGCAGGCCTGGCGCCCGGTTCGGAGGTCAAATCCGGATCAGCTCATCTCCTGATGACCGAGCTTTCCTCCTGCGGTTTGAGATTCGTACATCGTCTGGCTCCCACAAGTTGTGTCTAGACTGATAACGCATTCAGAATGTCACTACGACAAAGAGAAACAGGCTCGTCCTTTTTTTGAGGGCGACATGTGCGGAGTGTATGGGTCCGCAGCTGCAGTAGCGTACTTTTTCGGGTCTAAAGTACAGGGTAACGCTGCAAGACGATAGCGATACTCAGATGTCCTTATATACTACGTTCGGGCTTTTCTCAATGTGCAGCGCTTGCGTCGATGCAGCGAAACACACCCTCAAGCTGTACAGAACGACCAGAAGTGAGAGGGCGCAGACAAGGAGCGCGTTGGCTAGGACAGACGTGTGGCTGTGCAGCGCCTGCGGAGTATAAAGGCTGCACCGGGGTGTCACTACTCTTAGCCCATTTCCCAGGTGTGAAAGCGGTTCAGCCTCTGTGGCGTCACGCGTGCTCCCACACATGGTGGAAATGCTCAGACGAGCAACAGTGCCGTCACCATGAGGTTCTCAAACACGCTTATTTCCGGAAATATTAGGTGGATGTATAATTATACGAGGCAGTATATTTTTTTCCGACTTGAGACACAATTCGGGGAAAGAGCTTTTTTTCAGATACACCTCGTCCCTACTGGAAGGTTCAGTCAGAACGCGATCTGTTGGAGAGGCTCGAACTTCTCGCTAAAGAAATGACCGACGAAAACGCTGAAACAGCTCCTCCTGGGTGTCTGAATAGTACGGTTCTTTTTCTTGATTTGTATACGGAACTTTGACGTGGGCGCCGCTGAAAGGAGCTATCTTCTTCATTTAGACACTATGATGGATGCTCGTCTTAGCGGCGACTCAGATCAGAATTTGGATGCAACGATGGTGTGGACTGGCGAAGTGACACAGTTGGAGCAGTCAACAGATTTCGAAGTTCCTGCAGCTGAGGCAAAGGAGGACGTCGCAGAGGATAGTGATGAGGAAGGAGCTGATACGGTAGCTGAGGAGGAAGTGCTTATGACACTTTGAAAAAGGTGAAAAGAAAGGAGAAGAGGTGGGTGTTCGTACAGACAATCGGGTGTACATTGACATGGGTGTACTTGAGTCGTAGAATACAGCTACCTTATTTGTCCTTGTTACCTTCGCCGTACCAAGAAAGTCACAACAGTGTGCAGAAAAAAAACAGCGCGTGCGGCATGCCTTGGCTAGTTGACTCGCTTTATTTAGCGATTTCTGATCAAATTAGGAATTGTGTGACCGCCGCGTACGCACCTCAGTTCCAGAGTCTTTTCGCCGCTTCACCGTTGTTCGAATCTCCTGGCATGGCAACTCGAAGAATAAGTTGCACTAGAGTGACAGAACACTTGCAAGCAATACGAAAGACTTGTATGGATTAATCAAATTATTTAGAAGATGGGTGACGATGGATCTTGAGTTGCCACTGAAACGTCGTCCCAAACAAACTGCAGAAACGGCGGAATCAGGGTCGTTTCCATCAGACGTGACCAGCGCGTTTGCTGATGCAACCTTTCATCCGGTCCGTTCGCATGATGTATTACGCTCTGCTTTGTTTCGCACTACTTATTTTTCCAGATGCCACTGAATTCACCACTGGATGCCACGGCTGTCCTCAGCACATCCACTAATGGTACGTACGATATGATGTGCTTGCACATCACTAGTGGACACGATTTTCTGGCCCTGCAAGCATGTAGCAGCATGTCAAGAGTTCCTGGTTCTTGGCATGTGCGGGGTGAAGGTGTCTGCAGCTGCAGAAGCGTGCCATTTTCCCCGGTCAGAAATGCGCAAGGAACGAGGGTGGGAGTAGTAACACCCGATACACTGCATATTTCGCCCGCGCTGGCGTCTGGTCAGCCACACGCGTGACTATACTTGAACGCTCTACTTGTCTGCGCTCTCTCACTTCTGCTTGTTCCCCACCGCTGAGAGCGTGTTCCGCTCCGACACCTTGTGTCGACGCACATTGAGACTAGCGCAAGTCGGAGTATGGCGACATCACCCGACTATCGCTACGCTAGCTCATTTTCGTACTTTATCGAAGGAAGTGGCCGCTTTACGCATATTGGCGGCTCATCGCTAACGCAGATAGAGGAGGATCTGTCCGAGAGGTGGTCTACAATTTATTTTTTAAGCGATAGATGATAAAAGAGCGACTCGATCTGATGGATTATATCGTTGCTCAGGTAGCTAGCTGGGATACTTGTTTCACTCAGGCCATCGATTGCCGGCATCCCATAGTACAGTTCAGTATTTTTATAATGTCGTGACGACGGCGGACTCTCTATTTCCAGTTTGATCCAATTCTGGGGTTTTCCTTCTGCGTGTTTCCCGACGCTTGTCGATCTACTACGCCGTCACAAGTAGTTTTCGTTACAACATTGCCTTATCAAGGTTTCTCAACATTGCTATTTCAGGTATTCTTGCAGAGTCATGGCATTTCCAGAAAACTCGTAACATGATCGATTCTTATCTTTTAGAAAAGACAAACCACAGGGAAGGTTGGTGATCGTAAATGTGTCAAGCCGCCGGTGGCCAAGTTGCATAGGCAGACACTTAGATCCTCCTTCGGTACGTTCTCCCAGGATTTTACCTTCAAGCGAGGTGGATTTCTAGGCAACGGCAATGAGCCATCAGAGAGTCATGTTGTGCTAATAAGGATGTATAGCACTCGTGAAACAAGGAAATAATAAAAAAATTCTCTGGAGGCTAAACACTACCACCCTCGCTACAGCGACCTTACACGATTCCGTGACCCGTTCCACAGCGGTCACGTTTGGTTGTCTTCGCGAGTAGATATCAGGGCACATCGTTGTTGGAGATTCCCTAACAGGGGGGGGGGGTGCGGGGTCGTATCTGGTCGCTGGGAGAGGGGGAGGTCATACTTAGTCTGGGAGAGCTTTTTTTGATAGTTGTTTTTTCATGTTTCAGAGACGGTGTTAAGGTTTCATCCGTACTAAATACGCCCTACCCCGCTCGACAGCAAAATTTTTGGGGTGAAAATAGGAGAATTTCGGGAAATTTCGGAAAAAGTAAGAGGTGGAGAAATGGTAGAGAGGAGGATCGTATCCCGCTCGACAACTCGATGAACAACGAACAGGGAACCAGAGGGTCGCGTCAACCCCTTCAAAAAAAGGGGTTGGGTCTTGCGGACTCCACAAAATCCCAACCAACGATGTGCCCTGATAGAAATGCGTCGCCCACTCCTGCAATCATGATCCCTGCAAACGATAATTTGTATGAGGCATCGCATATTGCACCAGTGTGCAGCCAGTGTGCTCTGAACACGCTATAAGTGGTTGGGAATCTGTCGTGGCTGCGTTCAAGTCATGCTTCCATCCTATGCCCTATTAGTTGCAGGGGTTATGGCTGCACACTGCTTATAACACTCGCGGTTCAGGAGACATGGAGTGAGCCTCGTCGCGATTTTCACCACTGATATTCTCTGCCTGACTCGGTCACAAACTTATTACTATTGGTGAAGAAAGAAAACTGAATGTGGGCTCACTCTGCCCTTT